GAGTCATCGTCCCAGCATTCAAACCACTACCCCACGTTGGCTCGCTCTCTTTCTAGGCTCTACAGAAGCTTAACCTAGGTCCAAACCACACTGCAGAAATGATCCAGTTTGAGGCCGCTTGAACTACCCCGGCTCAGTGCTAGGGAATCCTGGGAATTATAGTTGATGGTGGGCCCAAACCTCGCTCTCGCTTTTTCTGACAGAGAAGGCTCAATGTCCCACAAACACTACAGTTGTTCCCAGGATTCCCTAGCACTGAGCCAGGGGCAGTTCGATCGGTCTTAAACCGGATCATTTCTGCAGTGTGTGTTTTTTGGACCGTAGCTCAGCAGCTTTCCAGGGGCTTTTTAATAGTCCAGCATTCAAGCCACTGCACCACATTCTCTCTCTCTATAGAAGCACCTTTGGTTTACGTGGACCAGGCAGGACTCGAACCCCGGTCCCCAGAGCCATCTAGCACCAACCACTAGGCAACGCTGTCTCTCCGCAGTCCCTGTGCTAAGATTTCAAAACAGGGCTTTGCATCTATCTCCCGAGTCACTTTCAAGAGGGATTGCTTAACGCGACTGCAACCTTCCCATTCTTTCTGATGCTCCTTTTCTTTCGGCTTATTTAGGGTTCTTCCTTCCTTTGGCTCAGATCTATTGGAAGGTCCATTGAAGCCTTCGCAGGGGTAGGCAACCTTTCCCCTTTAAGGGCCGAGGGACTTCAGCTCCCAGAATCCCAGGAGCTATTGGTCAACATGGGACTATTGGCCAACATGGCTGAGGCTTCTGGGAGCTGAAGTCCCTCAGCCCTTAAAGGAGAAAGGTTGCCTAGCCCTGCTTCAGAGCATCAAAGCCTTTGCTGTCTTTAAAAGGAAAGTTTCAGCATCCTTAAAATGGGAGAATGCCATCCATCAAGCCCCCCAGGAGCCATTTCGGTCCTCCATGGGCCAAGTTTGGCCATCTGGAGGCTAGATGAACATTGGCTAGAGGAGGGTCTCCATTAATGGTGGACTACAGCTCTAGAGACCAGGGTTCAAATCCTGCTTCAGCCAAATGGATGACCTTGGGCAAGTCACCCTCTCTCAGCCTCAGGGGGAAGGGAATGGCCAACCCCATCTGAACAAGCCTTGCCAAGAAAAGCCAAGGATAGCTTCCTTTTAGGGTTGCCCCGAGTTCGAAATGACTTGAAGGCACACAACACAACCTGGGAAGCTGCCTTAGATACCTGTCTGTAGGGTCTTTTGTTGTTGCTGTG